ATAGGTGCAGAAAAGACATGCTATATATGGCTTAACATGTGGGCAGTTTTATGTTACCATATAATTTAATATGTTTATGGGATGTCATTTGGGCAAAAAAGTTGATTTTTTGGGAATGAGAAATTTAGATTAGTTAGGAACAAAATTTTCTATTTTCTATTTTTTAATATTATTAATTTTATATTTTTTCTAATTTTTCTAAGCGACTAGGTTAATGGTAATAAACGTAAAAAATGAATAGTAAATAAAACATAGCTAGCTATATATTAATATATTAATATATACAAATAATTTAATAATACTTACTAACTGAAAATATGAAAATTTTTTCTCTTTTGTTGATTTGTTTGAATTTGTTCCAAGTACACTAAAATATAAAAAAAAAATTAAATTAATTTGATTCTAAACTAAATTATTTACTTTTTTTATTATAACTTTAAACAATAAATATTTGTTAAGTTAAATATTTGTTAAATTAAGTATAACATAATTATATGAACACATGTTATATATAGCAAATAAATGGAACAATTCGTAATAATAATGTATTTGATAAGTATTCATAAGAGGCACACTAACATTTTAGCAGGCTTCGTTATTAGTAAAAAAATTGTTATAAATCAATAAGAGCCATCTTTCTTATTCGAAAGAAATCATTGAAAACGACTATAAAAACAATTTTCATCCACTTGTACTAGCAAATAATTCATTGTATTAAATCAATTTATACCCAAAACACTCTTGATATCACATACAGATGGCCTATCTTAGAAATTAATATAGTGGTATCTATAAATTTGGTAAAGATTAACTAGGATTTTAGAAATTGACTTAAACATAGTTTTTGATCAGGAAATGTATTGCCCAATGCACGATTAAACCACATTAACTCGCTGCTGCATTTGACGACCCCCGGTCAAGTTTAATTGCATGAAATATTGTAGTTAGCGACTGTAGCTTGAGCGTACTTAAGTAATCCATTTATTTAAGTTCATTTTTGACATTCATCTGCTACTGCAGCCAGCTATTGTAGGATATTGGGTATACTCTTAAAATAAAAGAATGGTTTCATGAGTTTTATAGGAACTCTGACCGTGGAAAATTATTTGCTATTAATTGGTATTCTAAATTTACTAATTGTTGTATAGAATCTGATTGCGTAAAACATTCTACTCAAGCAAATGAAACTGTTAATCTAGAACATAAGTATTTTTAAATTAAAACTATAGCAGATAGCTGAAATAGTAATGATACCATTTGAATAAGTCTGGCACTTGCAGTTCAAACAAATTATATACGGACTATAAACTAATTAAATAAAATTCGATTATTTCCTAAGACCACTGATGAAGAGTACTTGGCAATACTCGAAACAGCGTTATATGGTTAGCCAAATTTCAATAAAAATTAAAATAAATTTTTGTGTTTGTCCTTTATTTCTTTCTTTGCTATTCGAAAAACCCTCTAAAAAATTCGGGATATATGTTATATGAATATTTGTCTATAAGATAGCTATCGACAAATAAAAGATTAAGATATAAGAACATTAAGAAGATTTTCTATATTTTCTATGTAATCATGGATGAAACGTGGCTTTATTATTATACTCTAAATTTCAACTGAAAGTAAACTAGAATAAATGTATACCAGAAAATGCAACCAGAAATTTTAAAATTTTAAATTAAGTTCGTACAATTAATCCATTTTGTTTAACAAGCGATGAAAAATATATTTTAAATAATTGTTATGTTATATATTACAAAATTTTTGATAAATAGTTGCCTCTTTCTCTTTGCTGTTGAAGAAATTTTATAATAGAGCACTTCATTGCGTATGAGCAACATTATATACAGGTGACATATGTATAAGTACGGCAATACTGCTTTGTTTGACAACAAAATAAATACGACAAAAGTGATAAAAATGCGCTTAAATTTTTCCATTTCAATATAAATTTTATCTATTACCTACCATTACTATTACTTATATACAACATCATATATTACGAGTATTCCTAAAATATAATATAAGTACCTTTCATTTGTATTGAGGAAATCATTTCTATCAGGCAATGTACTCGATTTCTTTCTGGAACTTCTCCAAGATATTTCTGTAGGCGTTGCTGCTATCGTAGGCGTTGTTGGTATACTAGAATTGCTGTGCGGCATGGTTTATGGTATTAGCGATTCGTATTTGCCAAACTTGAGACTTGTTGATTTTGTCTAATTGAATTATAAAAAGATAGTAAGTTGTTAATATACAACTTTGTATATTGAAAGTAATAATAATAATAATAAAGTTAGTATTAAAAATTAATTTGAAATGCTTATCTTTAATGGAAACTTTTATTATAAATAATAAAGTAAAAAAAAAAAACAATTTAATAGCTTAATAATAATATATTCAATTTTTATTAAGAAGATAAAAAATAGTTTTGTTGAGATATTGTGCGTAATATTTATGTATATCGCATATAATTTTTTATTGTATTTGTAAAAAGTATTTAAGAATAAAATAAAGTATGTAGTCACATAATATACATATGGATGGCTAATTGGTTGCAGTGGCAGGTCATTAGATAACTTCCATGCACCTCAATTAGCGATTTTTTGCGGTTTTGCCACCACATTTCTCGCAAGAACCCCTAATATAGAAGAATAGAGACTAAATCCATCCCATCGAGTTTAGATAATTTAATAGATCTCTCATCTTCACCGATTAACAGTGTGATAAACTCTTAAAGAAGTATCTTCCTAAAAACCTATTCTTAACGCTAAATCTAAGCATTCACGGTAAAAATGTAATACTGCTGGTTTTTTCCACAACTTCTGCAGTGAGGATTATGAGGAATGCGCAGCTTATATGCGTGGGTTCCTATACACCATAGACCAGAAAGAACTGTAGTAAGTGTTGCAGTGTTCGCACGGTCTCTTTTGACAAGTTCCGAGGATCTAATTTTATATGTATACATATAATAAAAATTTAAAATAATCTGACAACTACATATGAGAAATGCTGGAAAAGTTTTGTATATAACATAGAAAAAAACATTTTTAAATTTTTCTGTTATTTATTTTTTGGTAATGCCCCAAGGTATTTCATTCTTCTAGACAGTAAATTGCTTGCGTCCACAATATTTATCTTTTCCGTGTATATCATCCCTTCATTTCCCGAAAAGTCATCATCTACCGAACAGTTTTCCCTTTTAAGTTTTAACAATATGAGCCATAAGTGGCAAATAAAATGAATGGTTAATTACCCTTATTGCTCTAATAAGTACTGATGGATTATGACCCACTACATTGTTTTGAGGGAAAAAATTTAATTTTTTCAATAGTATTTCGCTATAGGGAGTCTGTTTTATTTAACATTCTTTGCGTTCCTAAAAAAGAGTAGCTATAATTTTCTTGGTTGGCTGCAGGATTTTTGCCGTCGTTATATAGCATTTTGATTGTTCTTTGATCTGTTCAGTGTAGTGGTGATTCCATGTCAGGGGTTTACATGTAGTGGTGATTAACAGGGGTTTACATTTTTGGGTAAGATCTTAGAATTTCTTTACTTCTATGACTTCATGAAATATATTTGTTTCCTAAAAGCATAAGTCGGTCGATGAAAAATTTTTTATAAATAATTTTGGTAAAAAGAACGGTATGGAAAATATATATTTGTTTATAGTGACTGTGTTATAATTATCATATGTTTAAATATTATAATAAAAATAATTTTGAGTTTAAATAACCTGTAGGTACACAACACAGGCTAAATTGGTTATTATATGGAGTACTTTGTAAAACTTAATTAAGTTATCCACTATATCACTATTATATTATTATGCGACGATTGTAGCAGGCTGTTGTCTTTTCAACGTAAAAGCCATTCCACGAATGGTAGTTGGCACTGCGATCGTCGGGTCCATTATGTCAACGAAGCTAATATAGCTTCATATAATTTTTGCTTTTATTTTTAACCATTATTTCGGGAAAGCATTTTGAAATGATTGAGATATTAAAAGCTAAGCCAAAGATATCGAAGAACCATACAATTAACTTTAAAGAACTATTTTGAAGATTGAAAAATCAAGTATATATATAATATATATATATATATATAATTATATATTATATAATATATTGCTATATTTTATTATTATAAAGGTGTATAGAGAACCGTACTATATTAAATCTATGTTTAATGCTATATTTCGAAAAATTCTTTCTTTTCAAGAGTATAGACTTGGAAATCTAAGTCTAATACTAATCCAAAGTAATATTATTCTACTGTGGATATAGATTCATTGTTGCAATAGACAAAAATATTTTGAAGGAGAAAATGTAAATTTTTATGAATAATATTGATTAATTACTACTTTCATTTTAGAATACATTTCAAATTATATTTGAAAATACGTTCCCATTTTATAAGTTCATTTATAGATCGTAACATACAGTACAATATCTTTTTTTTTTGTGAGATAATTTGTTTTCAATGAGATTAATTTTTGCGTCTACTGACGATTATGCCTAGTCAAAAAATACTATATAATATAGCACTTGTATATTTTTTTATACGCACATCATGTTTTATGAGATTAACTTATGAGATTAAAATTCTAAATTATTTAATTAAAACAAACCACGAATTTTAGAAATGAATATCTTTATTTTTAGGTATATTAATCTTCGTTAAAGATTCTCTTGTCGGATTTATTCATATTTTAAAGCAAAAGAGTAAAAAACGGTAGAAAAGATACATATGGCTTTAAAGATACATTTAGATAATCAATTAATTTAAAATTTTTATGGTATTTATATATTATTTAAAATTATTTAAAGCAAATATCATTAGCATTAGTAAAAAATTATTGTTTTATAGGCGCTTATAATTTTTATATGTCATTACTTTATTCTTTAATCATTTTTAGGTTTCTTATTATTATTGTCAATATATGTATCTATAATCATAATTTTCATTATTAGCGTCATAATCATTAAGAGATTCATTCCTGAAATGGAATGGAAAGTTTAAACAATAAAAAATTTTAAGCACAAACAATTAACAATTATATTTCATTTATAAGTTTACGGGGGCTATTTGGAAAGTCAGAGATAAATTCATTTTCAAAACATCAAAAAATTATTTTATTTTACCATATTAAAAGTTAAGACGTGTATTATCTGTATCTAATCTGGGGCTTTTTTTATTACAGCAATTGTTGAATAAACAAAGGAACTTTGCAAAAAAATGAAAAAGATTAATTTTATGTATAAATTAAATATGTTTCTTTATTAGGAAAAAATACTAAAATTTAAATAAATTTGTATAAACAAAATAGTAGTATTCTATATTCATACGGAATGATACTATAATAATTTAAAAAATTGTGGTGTCTAGTAAAGATGCTAGGTATTGAGGAGGTCTGAATGAGGTAAAACTTGTTAACGAAATGTAAAAAAATTATAACTTATATTGAAAAATCACTGGAAAAATGTGATCTAGTTTATTGATTTAGTAAACTTTAAAATGAGCTTATAAAAAAATATTTTAAAATATTATTCACAAATCGAGCATTAGTAATATAGGTGTTAAAAGCCATATTCCGTAAAACGGAACTGTGTAAAAACTGTCATTACGATTAGGTTCTTTATGGGCCCCTTCTTTAATACACTCAGCGATATCTCTAGTATTAGCATAGGCCAGACTCGCGTCTTTATAAATGCTTCTAGCTGATCTAGTTCGACCTTATTCTGCCCACTATTACGAAGAATTGTAAATTCAAAACGGCTTTATTAGCTTATTGAGGATTATTCGTTCCTTCCTCCACTTCAACTAACTAATTAATAACAGTCATTAGGTAGATTTGTTGTGGACTTCACAAATGATATCAAAATTTCTAACGAATTTATGAAGCGCTTATAGCTACATTACTGAGACGTTTTCCAATTTCCAAAATTATGGAGATTCCGGGCATGGAGTCTGATTTCTGTCAGTTCAGCTACATTTTCTAGATACACCTTTTCTACATTACATTATTTGTGCGCAGCGGAAAACTTAAGCGTTCTCATATCTTCGTCAATTTTATTCTGTAGATATTGAAGATAATTTTTTTTATCATTTTCTTCCTTAAGTGTCAGCTGAATACCGTCATTGACAATGTCTTTTTTACTTTCCATTGCTTTATGGTTACGTTATAAAGTATCATCATCATCATAATTCCTATATCTTCCATTGGAGCATAGGACCTGAATAATGCACTTCAATGTAGTTCTATTTTTCGTCAAAATTTTCAGTTCGTTACATATTTTTTTGGACTCCTGAATTTCTTTTTGCAATGTTATTCTTCATGCGTTTTTAGGACGTCCCATCTTACGGCTGTCTCGACAAATTTCCGTGCCCTTGTTTCGCAGTATGTGGCCGCCACGGCCAACCTTCCTATAGTTTTTCTGATGTTTAAAGTATTTTTAAAGTTAAATGCTCTTACAATCACAAGGCTTGGGCAATTGCTTTTTGCACTGCATTCCATTAAATGTTTGAAATTTTTTCATTGATGAAAATTTATATGAAATAATTTGTCTACTATATTTTTAAAAATAAAATCGAGGAGTCCAGAAAGAGTTGAAGATTTTAGCGAAGCACAGAACCATATATATATACATATATATATATATATATATATCTAAATTAATTTTAAAACATTTTTAATAAACAATAATATTATACATTATTATATATATAATAATAATATTAGATATATAATAATTAAAATTATACAGAATTTTAAATTTTATTATTCAGATTATTTAAAAAAGGGAAAAATAATTACTGAGTTCTAAAAGTTAAAAAAAAAAACAACAGTTATTATTAGCTTATACAGCAATTATTTATACTATATATAGTGCTAATATTATATATTATAGTAATATATATATATATAATGCTTTAACCATATTATTATTAACTCAAATATTACTAATTGAAATGTAAATTTATTAAGCAGTTGCATTTGAATAATCGCTTTCAATTAATACTATTTCTGTATTATATTCATATTACTATAATATTGTTTATTAAAAATATATTTTAAAATTCATTTAAGGCATATTATGTTCGCTTATAATACCAGCTGTAATTAATCAATGTATTTGCAAGTGAACTTAAACTAATTAAAATT